AGCAATATAGTCAGGACTTTCTCCTGCTGAGCAAGAGTCTTCTCATACCATCCCTTGCAGCGTAGGCTGCAAGGTAGCCGAGCTCACCCTCGCTGTCATGCATCCATGTCAGATAGGACGCCACTCTGGGAATTCTGCAAAGCGCTTCCCCCAGAGGTGCATCAAGTCCCTTGGGGAGTTCCAGCTGTCATGGAGGTGATGTGCCTTTTCCTTACAATTAGCAGACTTGAGGCACTTTGTCTCCCTTCCCAAAGCACAAAGGAATTTTCCCAAGATCGCCTTTGACATAAATGTAAACATGAACAGTGAGGTGCAGTGACATCTTGCATCCAGATGGAGGAGGGCAGGCATTAGAAAGTCTCCTGGTGAAAGAGAACAGTGCGGCTGGAGATGCCCGCGCTCTACTCCCCTCTGGAAGTGGCACCTTGTCTGGGTGGGCGCTTTCTGTAGAAAGTCAGCCTCCATGCCTTCATCCCAAGCTCAGTTTCCCTTCCTCTGATCCCCTTCCTTGGAAAGCCGTGATGCAGATGGAGGCAGTGTTGGATGTAACCAAGTTATTTCTTCTTCTATTGCTGATGCTGCCCAGGGCAACCTGCAAGAACCTGCACAATGCCGAATGCCACTTGTCTTTGGGAAGGGGTTGCATGGATCCTGTCAGCTACTACAGTCCCGGAGACCACCTGATTGGTGGGATCGTTTCAGCAACACTTGCATATCTCACTGACCTAGGCAATTTCAGGGCAGCTCCCCTGAGCAGCCCTCTTAACAGGCAAGTCATTCTATCTTGATAGGATTACCTGTGCTTCACACCTACACGACTGCATTTCAGAGCTCTATTTTCTGGCCTTTGAAGAGTGCTGTGAATATGCTCTTTCCACCCCTTATTCCTTTGCAGCGAAGCTAGTAGGGAGGCCTGGAAGCTCCTGCCCTTCCTCTTTGCCATCCTTGACATTAACCAGAATCCCGGGCTCTTACCCAACATCACCCTGGGCTTCAGCATCCATGAGAACTATTTCAGTGAAGAAATGACTCCTGATGCCTTAATGAGCCTGCTCTCTTCCGGACTGGCCAATGTTCCAAACTACAGCTGTGGAAGAGGGAGTAGAGCACTGGTCATTCTTGAGGAATTTGACTCAGAAATCTCTGTGCAGATTTCAGCCATGCTGAGCATCTACAAAGTACCACAGGTGGGAATGGGGAAGGGTGATCCATTTGCAGGCTGGGTTGAATTCTTCTTTTCAATCCACTCACAGTGGGTGGTGGACATTCCGACAGCAAGTCTGGGCGTGGGAGCAGAATCCAGTAGGGTGGTGCACCCTTCCCAGTGCTCTGAAGCCCCTTTGTGCACAACCCCCACACCCCGCTTTAGCCACAATGCTTCAGCACCTCAAGTACATACCAAACTTGGCAGAAATAATGGGAGCTAGTCCATGTAGCTCATGTTCAGCTAAATCCCTTCCCAGCAGCTGCTTCCATAGGAGAGGAGGTGGTTAAACAGGTAACTGTTGGACTGGGATGCTTGCTACTGTTCTCTGATGGACCCATTCTTTGATGCCATTTGCCTGAGTTTACACCAAATTTAACAAGCTGGCATGGGAAGGCATTCTCAGAATCCGTTGGACAACTGGAAGATTGGAAAGTAGGAAAAGAGAGATACCTGTCCCTGTAAAGCAATGGGTTATCGATTAATAATACTTTCAACATCCGAACAAGTGTCCTACAGATGCCAGTATCCAGTGGATACATTTGAGCATCTGCTATGCCTTTGCTGAAGTCTGTGCCTAATTGCTAGACTGCTGTAAGCATTTCATGCATTGCCAAGTAGAAAGATATAGCAGATATTGCTTGTTAGAGGCACTATTGTGCTTAAGAGTTGGCCCTTCCTTTCATTGCGTAGGCTGCATGGTTATTCTCATGTCTAAATGTTCTCCATGCATCATTCACACCTTTCAATGCCCTCCTCTTCCTCTTGCTCACATTTGAAGTCTGAGCTCTGCAGCTGAAAATCCCAATGCTGAGAGAAATCAGCTCAGTCCCTCCACAGCCCTCCACCTTCCCAGGCCTTGTTTGAAAGGAATATTGACAGCAGCACCTCTGAGTTGATGGAGAAAAACACCCTCATGNAACTGGCTGGATGCACTAGTAGAGACTTCCTCAGCTGGGGATGATGGGAGCACTAGACTAACATATCTGGAGGGCAGCAAATTGCTGGAAGGCTGTCTGGGGTAGGCAAAATTACAGCCAGGCGAGGGCCAGGATGTGTTCGTTCAAGTAACGTTAGAAAAAAGCAATGTGAATGACAGCTCTTGAGCACAGGCTGCAACTCACTGCACTACAACAAGCTCGTTGTTGTTGCTTGGACTGAATTCAAGCAAGTCCCCACAAGTGCAAGTGTTTGAACTGGCCAAGCTGTCTGCTTGGAAGTTAGTTCCTTGGCAGGGTTTATTGCCTTTCTTTTTTCCCAGCAGCCACTAAACCCAGTTACAACTGCAATCTTTTATACAACATTTAAATATTTCTGTAACAATATGTTTATACAGATTTCCCAGCAAAAATGGGTAAAGAAAGACTGTGACTGAGATTTGGGGAGAGCCAAGGTGTTGCTGCAGGTTTGAAGTAATGATGTAAGAGAGCAACCTGACTCCCACCCTCTTACATGGGCTAAATTAACATGGAATAAGGAATATCTATGGATTTGCTAGCTGTAATCACTAGTATATGACTTCTAGACACACAAGTGTATACTGAGAGGGCTTCCTTTAATAACAACAAAATAGAGTCATTAAAAATGATGCAAGAATACATGGGTTAGCGCCAGGAATTTTCATTCATTTTGTTGCAACATATTCACTCATGCGCTGGATTAAACAAGAGCATCTGATTTAAACATAGCAAACATTTGTATTTCTAATGGAACATACCTGCCGTTCAACAGCACTGGGATGTCTCCTCCAGCCTTGCATGACTTTCTCTTAAAATGTCAAAGACACCAATTTCAACCCACTGGAGAGCCAGTGTGGTGTGGTTGTTAAGATTGGTACTCAGGCAATCTGGGTTCTCATCCCTGCTCAGCCATGGAGACAACTGGGTGACTTTGGACCAGTCACAGACTCTCATCCCAGCTTACCTCACAGGGTTGTTGTTGTGGGGATAAGAACAGCAGGAGTAGAATTATGTAAGCTACGTTGAGTTCTTTGTAGAAAACAAGGTGAGAGATAAATTTAACAAATAAATAACCCAGTCAGTGGGCAATTTCTAAACCAAGAGGAGTCATGACCAATGCCACAAAGTCTGCCCCTCTAAGCCAGGGATGGGCAACTTCAGTTTCCTCACCTCATTTCAAAAGCCCTCTTCAAGCAATCAGTTCACTTGCCCCTGGAAAGAGAAATTTGTCTCCCACTGGGTGAAAAATAAGGCAAGAGAGAGGGAAGGGAAGAGCAGAAGGAAGAGGGGTGGCCTACTCTTTCTATGCCCACCTGACTCAGTTTTGGTCCCACCCATAGGAGAAAAGCTGGCCTAGCCCAATGGCTGGAAGATCACAGTAGGCACCAAAAAGGCCCTGCTTTGACTCTTGCCTCTGTCATGAACTCACTAGCCAGCCTTAGGCAGAAACACCACACTCTCCCTCAGTCTCAGTCTTTCCCATATGCAATGTGGGTATGCGCTTTCCAGTCATCTCTGACTTAAGGCAACGCTACGAATGCAAGCCCTCCAAAATGTCCCATCCTCGACAGCCGTGTGATAGAGGCCATGCACCAGGCAATCAAGTGTTGAGGCACCCTCGTTTCTTCTGGAGTTCTAAGTCGCCATCTGTAGCTTCTCATTATCCACATAGTGAAAGACTAGACTGATCTGCTGTTCTTTGGGGCAGCTCAGTAGCCAACATTTCCAGCCAAACCTCAACTTTTGTAGATTTCACTTCCACAGGTTTGTTTATTCACAAGTTTGCCATCAATATTTAAAGAGAATTTTATTTTGAATTTTGCTGTCAACTGTCTACCACTCTATGGACACCTGTGTGGAGAATGCACCCCTTCCTGGCTGCACTGTGCATTGGCCCCTGGTGAGGACAGGGCAGGTGCTGGACTCAGGACCAGCTGTGCAGCCAGACATGAGGCTTGCGATATGGCACAGGACAAGCTCCCTGGAGGGGGTCCTGCTCCAGCCCATCGGGTCTTGTTCTAAGCTAAAGGTTATTCAAACTGAGAAGAGGTAATTGTGATGCAGCTACCAGTACGTGTATTAAGAGTTAAGGTTGGGGAGGGTTTGGAGATATTCGCCGTTTTTCCACTTTCACGGGGCTCCTGCACCCCACCCCGGCAAATGTGGAGGGCCAACTGTGTTTGTGATATGTGCCTCTTCCTTTTCACAAGCCAGCTTGAATGTCAGGCATTTCACAATGAATATAAGATAATATTCCTTGTTGCAACACCTTGAGCATCACTTTGGTTGCATGCAAAATTAGTGCACTGATCCAAAAGTTGCCACACTGCTTCGCATCCCCTTTCTCGGGGACTGGAATGCAGTATAAGCACATAATGGCTTGCCAGGAGGATTTCCTGCTGGATGAAGAATGTGAAGTACCTCGAGTATTTGAACCTAACCGAGGTCCTGTAGGGTCAGGCCAGGTGCAGCCTTTCACAGCCCAGCCAAGCAGCTGCCCACAAGCGGGACGCGACTGTAGCCGAGCCCCCCCCGTTCCTGCTTTGCAAGCGCGATGTACAGATGTTACCAGGCAGGCCAACAGACTCAGCAGCTTCGCTTTTGTTGCCGTCTGAACGTGAGGCCAGGCACTTGAGTTCGTGGGGCGGTGCTGCGCTTTGCAAAGGGCGGGCACTGCTCTTGGCAGCAGTGGGGCGCCGCAGACTGCCCGGCAGCCGCTCGGTCCGCGGGGCGCCGCGCCTGAGCCGCTCAGCAGCAGCGCCCGCGAGGCGGGTGGGGGCGGCGCTGCTGCCTCGGCCGCGGGTGGGCCGTGCCAGGAGAGCGGGAAGTGAGCTCAGGCGCAGAGGAAATCCCGCCCGCGCCGGCCTGCGTGCGCTGCTCTCCGTCGGTGGCTCGGTGTCGGCGAGGGCGAGCTTGGGAAGGGGCTCCTTGGCGCTTCACCGGGCGGCGGCGCGGGGCCAGCTGAGCCTGCGAGGGAGTCATGTCGGACCAGGTGAGAGGCGCTTGCTCGCCCTGCTCGCCAGGCCGCGCCGCGCCGCCTCGGCAGGCCCGGAAGCCTCCCCCGGCCGGCCAGGCGCCCCTCCGAGCCCCCGCGCCGAGCGGGCGGGCGGGCAGCACCGGAGCGGGAC